GCAAAGAAATGGAGCAAAACAATAGAATAGGAAAGACTAGAGATGTCATCAAGAGGATTGGAGATATCAAGAGAAGGTTTCCTGAAAAGACAAGCACGGTAAAGGACAAAAATAGTAGAGTGAAAGAAATGAGGAAGAAGTGGCAAGAATGCACAGAAGAACTATATGAGGAAGGTCTTAATGTTCCTCATAATTACGAAGGTGCAATTGCAGACCTCAGGCAAAGTCAAGGTGGGCCTTAGGAAGCATTACCAACAACAAAGCTAGCTGAAGAGATGGTATTCTAGCTGAGCAATTTACAATCCTAAAAGACGCTGATATTAAAGTACGGCACTCCATATGCCAACAAATCTGGAAAAACTCAACAGTGGCCACAGGATCGGAAAAGGTCAGTTTGCGTTCCAATCCCAAAGGAGGGCAAGGCCAAAGGATGTTCAAATTACTATACAATTGTGCTTGTTTCACACATTAGCAAGGTTATGCTCAAAACCTTACATACTGCTTCATGGGGTCATGGAAGAGTCAGACACAACTTAGCAACTGAGCAACAACCCCCTCAGCTGCAACTCACTCTGCACTTGTATTAAACTTATAAAGTTTAAACATTTTAAAAACAATTATCTTTAGCTTGATGACCTCCATATGTATTGTTGGCAATCTCTATTCCTAGGAAATATGGGAACTCTGGTCCAAATGCACCATGTTTGTCCCTGCTCATGTATGCTATGCTCCAACACCAATATAGCTTTTAACTATTTTCAAGAGAAACAATTGCACGGGTGCACATCATATTTCTCAACTTCTTCACTATCACTTCCTCTAATTTATCTTTATAACTTTATAACTGAACATCTGAAAAGCTGATTACCAGTTCCCTGGGAAATATACCCCATTTCCCCAAAAATATGACCTACCCTGAAAGTAAGTGCTAGCTTGATTTTTACACATATGCCCAATATAAACCTACCCTCAAAATAAGCCCTAATTAAGATCCCACCCACTCCAGAGTGCATGGGTAAAAATTAAGCTAAGGTGGGGATGGGGAGGTGGAGCTGCCCTACTACTTACCTTTGGACATTTGAAGCCAGGCCTCGCACACCCTGATACCTGCCTTGCCGGTCCATTTCTTCTGCAACTGGTAAAGCTGGCAAGGCTTTCCTGAAGGCCTCTGTAGCTGATAACAAAGCTCTGGATCAATCCAGAGCCCTGTTATCGGCTGCAGAGGCCTTCAGGAAAGCCTTGCTGGCCGCAGAAGAAGAAGTTCCTGAAGGCCTCTGACAGCGAAAGGGAGGCCGGGAGCAACGTATGCAAGTGAGGTGAGTCAGTGGATGATATCCCCGAAAATAAGACCTGGTGTCTTTTTTGGTGGCAAAAAAAATATGACGGTCTTATTTTTGAAGAAACATGGAACGAATCTCTCTAAGCCTATATGCTGATTTTCACATTCTGTATTAGGAGGAGAATGTAATTGAGGAGAGGATGAAGGCAGATTTGGATACCTCTGGAATTTGTGCCTCGATGCAGGTTACTTCAGGTTCGCTGAATGGCTCCCAGAGTGTTATGTGAACTGAGCCCTGGCAGAGGAACCACACCTGTCAACCAAACAAAACAGAAGGGAAACACTCATCTCTTGTTCAACATTGGTGTGAGAAACAATCTATGATGTAGAAGAATTATAATTTGAGTGCCGATGTGGAAAAAATGTTCACTTTCCCGAAAGATGACAAAATATTTGTTTTCTGAATATTTTTATGACGTTGGTCTATGATTCAGGGGAAGAACAATTCTTTCAGAATGTTCAGTCAGGGAATCTAAATTAACACAATAAAAATCATGACCTATTACCCCGATATCATTTTGGATCTGGATCTGTGCACCTGTGCGTGCACATGTGTGACTCCGCACACTCTGAAAACCATTCCCAATGAAGGGGGTTGCAATTGTGTTGGGAATCTTAATTTCTGGATGACCCAGGGGGGAAAACTGGTTTATGGAGCTCTGCTTTGCCTAATTTTATCCCAACGTTATTTTCTTATGAAGATTTCCTCGTTAGAAAATTATAGTATTTTAGTAAACCAAAAAATGGCTCTGGGTAGTTCAAAGTGGACACGTTGGACGAATGAAGATATCCTATTAATCCTTTGGTTTGCTTCGGCAGATGAGTTTTATTAACTTGTATTTAGGATTTAGAGTAGCGGTGGCTGACCTTTTCAGCACTGAGTGCCAAAGTGTGTGCCAGAAACTGGGAGACCAGATCCCCGATGCTTGGGAGCACCAGAAACCTGAAGCTTAGCTTCTCAGCGTGTGCATGCACACAGGCCACCTGCTCTTCCAGTTTTTAATGCACAGGCATGTGTGAAGACCGGCTGGCTGGCGCATGCACATGCTCTCCAGGGAGCTGCTCTCCAGTTTCTGATGCTCCTGTGCGCGCAAAGACCAGATGCGCACCAGAACCCAGAAGAGCAATGGGTGATGGCTGGCATGACTGGAGAGAAAATTCTGCATGCCACTTCTGGCACACGTGGCATAGGTTCGCCATCACAGGTTTAGAGCTTGAGTAGAGATACGTAGGATTGCCCTGTCAGAAAGATTATCTCAAGGCTTAATACGCATCTATGGGAAAGTGCATCATTTCTCATCGTTGTATTTCAAGTATCAGTTTTAAAATTAACTCTTGTTCTCCGAAGTAAAATATTCCTCTAGAACAAATCCCAATGTCGTCCCAAAAGTGCTTTTTCAAAAGCTGCTTCTTGGAAGAGAAGTGAAACGTCCTCAAGGAAAAACAAGAAACTCCAGTTGCCTTTTGCAAAAGCATCTTTGGGACGACCATGACCTGGATGAGTGAGAACCTCCATAAGGCTTAATCCCAGTGTCTTACACCAGTTTCAGCAGGAGTACAATCTTCACTTAGCTTCTCAACTTCAGCCTTGGAACAATTTGTTTGCTGAATGGTGAAGTTAACTCGATACTTCGTCCCGACCACAATCTGAAATTCAAGGAGAAAAATGATTAGCAACTGCTTTGAGACTGGATGCTGAGTAGCACGAACCACGAGAAACAAAAAAACTTGGCTTGCTATCTGATCAGCTCATGTTGGATTCCGTGGCCCCAAGGACCCATCCCTTCTCCAGGATTCTAATAAAAACAAGCAAGTGAGAGGGACACAGAAAAATGTCTTGGCCTTCCCTTAGAGGCATGTAAGAAGCCGCCATGGGTCAAGCCAAACCATTGACCTACAATCAGGGGTGGGTGTTAGGAATAACAAGGTTACCTAACGTAGTTTGGGTAAAATAATATATATAGACTATGATAGTAAGTTTAAGTGTGTGTAACTTTAAACTGCAAAGCATGTAATTTTGGGGGCGGTGTGAAACCGCCATAAAAGGGAGCAAGAGAACCTGACGATTCCTGACGATTCCTGATGATTGACTGGTTTGATGGATTGATGGTTTGTTAACTGCGTGTTTCCCTGCTGCTGAGTTGCTGAACGCTGGAGGAAGAGAGGAGTTTTTGACTTCTTCATATCTCTACTGCGAGGAGATATATTACTGGACTGATATTTGTAAGTTTACTGACCTCTCTTTTTCGACACTGGAATTTGCAACTGAATAATCCCCAGACGGACTGAACTAGTTAATGATATATGGACTGTTTTGACTATGCTATAACTCTTACTGGAATAAACTATTTAACTAGCACTGTGTATCTGTTTTACTGAGTGTAAGCTACAAAAACGTTTATCTCACATATTTTGCCTGCCTGCCTGCCTGCCGTGCAGATTCTGCTAGGGTGTATCCCTAAAAGTGGGACTCTACCGGTTCGGGCTGGTTCAAGCGAACCGGTAGCTCCGAGGATCAGCTGGGAGTGAAACGGTTCGATTTGCTCCAACAATCACCTGTTGGGCCCACCTGCCCACCTGGGCTCTAGACTGTGCTTTATATCCTGGTTTTCAAGCTCAGCGGATTCGCCCCCCCCCCCACTTCTGACGCCTCCTTTGTTCAGAGGGGAGACGCAAAGGAGCAGCTGTTCTACGCCCCAGATTCCCACCCATTCTGAAGGAGCTCCTATGGCCTGCTGGTGGGTGGGAGGGAGGGGATTCAGGACTCTGGGGAGGACAGGAAGCCCCTCTGGAATTCTGGCCCCCTGGCCCTGAACCCCCCACTTCCCGGTTGCTTTTTTCACCTGCTCAGGTACTTTTGTTCCAATATTCTTCCAACATTTTTTGGGGGGGTGGGTGGGGATTTTTATTTTTAAATATACATCAACATCAATACAGGAACAGTGTGGCTTAGCCTTCTCCCCAACTGTTAATTTATTAGTGCAGTCGTTACAACTTATCATCAGAGCCTCGGTGGCGCAGTGATTAGAGGGCAGTACTGTAATCTACTTCTGCTGCCTGCCGGCTGCCTGCAGTTTGGCAGATCGAATCTCCCCAGACTCAAGGTTGACTCAGCCTTCCAGCCTTCTGAGGTGGGTAAAATGAGGACCCCAGATTGTTGGGGACAATATGCTGACTCTGAAAACCACTTAGAGAGGGGTGTAAAGCACTATAAAGCGGTATATAAGTCTAACAGCTATTGCTGTTGCTAGCAACATGGGCAACTGGGGCAGCTGAATGGAGCCAGCAGAGTGGCCGAATGCCCTTCCTGTCACCAGTGCAGCGTTTTGTTCAGCAGATATATTCTCACTCTGCCCAGAGATATCTGTGTCTACTTAGGTAGGATTGAACTCACAGCTTCCTGATTATGAGGCGAGAGCTTCACCTCTAGGCCATCGTACCGCAGTGGTTATAACTTATATATACACTTATATTTGGTTATTCCAAAACCTAGAAGGTTCAAGAATAACAACCTGTGTTTGGTTTTTGTAATGGAAATAATGAACGACCTTTATTTTATTTATTTATTTGTCACCGATCAATACAGAGTTTCTGCAGCCCGAGGACCTGAATTGGAAAAGGATTCAGGTTCAAACCAGGTTTTCTTAGCAAAGTTGTGATACAGCAGGTACAGATAAAATTCAAACCTGTTTTGTTGCATCTTTTATCTCCACAATTCTGAAATGAAAGTCACCGCTGTTGTTTGCATTAAACGATTCTATAATGTTTTGTAGAGGCTCCTGCAGTTCTGGGCTGTCCGTTGCAATCTCAACGGGGCAACCGGGACAGAGGTGAACAGGAGGTCCCACTTTTTCTTCCACTGATGGAAATATATAGATTAAAAACACAGGTTTATAACAGGTTATTGTAAAAAGGAAAGACTACAAGAATAGAAGCCTGCATCTATGTTGTTGGTTTTTTGGTAAGAGATTATTGAACACATGTTGGCCATGCAAAAAAATAAATAAATGTGTGAGTGCAAATTGTTCTGTAGCATTTTGAAATTTACCGTGAATGGTGGTTTTTATCTAGGGTAGCATCATGGCCACCAATTTATGCATATAAAAATAATGCTTTATACCATTCCACTACATTCCACTATATTCTATTCCAACTCTGTTGTTCTATTCTATATAGTACTGCCAATTACAGCTAGTCCTCAACTTACAACAGTTCCTTTAGTGACCATTCAAAGTTACAACATCACTGAAAAAGTGACATTTTTCACATTTAAGATCATTGCCATGGTCATGTGATTTACCTTTGGATAGCAATAGCAATAGCACTTAGACTTACATACCGCTTCGTGGTGCTTTCCAGCCCTCTATAAGCGGTTTACAGAGTCAGCCTATTTGTCCCCCAACAATCTGGGTCCTCATTTTACTGAAGGATGGAAGGCTGAGTCAACCTTGAATGCTTGCCAACCGGCTTGCCAACTGCTTGCCAATATTTATGATGGTTGCAATGTCCCGGGGTCACATGATCCCCTTTTGCGACCTTCTGACAAGCAAAGTCAATGGGGAAGCCAGATTCACTTAATAAACATATTGCTAATTTAACAACTACAATGGTTCACTTAACCAACGTGGCAAGAAAAGTCATAAAACAAGGCAAAACTCACTTAACAAATGTTTCACTTAGCAATATAAATTTGGGGCTCATAAGTAAAAGTTGTGGTCATAAGTTGAGGACTACCTGTACTAAAAATGGCAGACAGTATTATTTCGTCCTTGAGCCAAGAAAGTGCTGAAGCCATGCAATACTTTCAGGAACCACTGAAAATTCCTGAAAACAGACTGTACAGATAGTCCTCGAGTTACAAATGCAATGGAGCCTGCCCATTCCATTAATAACCCGAGGATTCATGGGAGTGAATCTTGCTTTGAACGTGATCACTCCCTCCTTTCACCCATGCATTTGTTAATAGAATGCGAGGCTCGTTAAGTGCACATGAGGTATTTCAGAGTCAGGAAGGCCATGGGGGGGGGGGGCTACTGATGGAAGAGGCCACCTGCCTAAGGCCTACCTGACCACTGAAATACCTTATGCTCCCCAAATTGCTTCCCCCCAATTTGCCACTCCAGGTCACTTATCTTGTGAAGATCTAGTAAGCAGTTTCCACTCCAGCCTCTCAGCCCTTCTGATGCTCTGTTCGGGCTGCCATAGGCCTCACCCGGCAGGTTTCCAGCTGAAATTGAGCTTCTGAGGGGCAAATCCGACCCTCCAATGTTCGGCCATCCGCAGGTCTCCCTTGGCCTGTTGCAAGCCAAAATGGAGCCTCCAAGGGAGGTCTCTGGACACCTGAACAGGGCTTCTGAGGGGTGGATCCACCCCTTGGAAGCTCCATTTCAACCAGCAATGTGCAAGACAAATGTTGCAGAGCCTCTGTGGTTGTTCATAAGGGCAAACAACTGCCGTGGTGCTGCAAGGTTTGTAGTTTTGGGCCTTGTTTACAAACACTAGGGGGTGCTTATTGTGTAACTTTGAACATTCGCTAAGGCAATGTACATAACCTAGGGATTACCGTATGTCAAAAACACATGTCATCAGCAATTCATTGGCTTGAGGAAGGAGAACACTGTTCACCATTTTTAGTAGTTGACAGCTCCTTCATATTTACGAGTCATCCTTAAGTCAAACTTTCTTAATTCAGGTACAGGCTGTAAGTAACTAATTCTGGAAGCTCTATTAACCTGATGCTGTTTGATCATTTCTGTTTTTAGATGGCCAATCACTGTTTGTGATGGTGGCCAATATCTGTAGCTCAGGTGTAGGATAAAGGTGGAAGTTTGTCCTCCGAGCTCGTGGGTGGGTTTTCAAACATTTCACGACCAGGCTAGATAACATCTTCACTAGACTTTAGGGGGCCTGGTAACGAAGTGTTCAGAAACCAACTTACAAGTTTGGAGAGCAAACCTCTGCCCTCAATCTTTGTGTCTCCAAATCTTGAACTGCAAGTCGCAACAACCCCTCTACTTTGTCTCGTACAGTGATGGTATGCTATCGGTTCGGCCCGGTTCAACCAAACCGGTAATAGAAAAAAGCCTCCAATCAGCTGAGAAGAGGGGAAAAAAGCCTCCAATCAGCTGAGAGGATAAAAGACCGAAAAGCGCATGGGGGTGGGGGGGTGGGACGGTCACTCTTAGCTTTTCATTTCTTCATCCCCTGAGCTGATTGGCTTATTAGGTGCCTGCATGTTAGGCAGAGGTGGGATTCATTTTTTTTTACTACCGGTTCTGTGGGCGTGGCTTGGTGGGCGTGGCAGGGGAAAGGATACTGTAAAATCTCCAGTCAGAGGTGGTATTTGACGGTTCTCTGAACTACTCAAAATTTCCACTACCTGTTCTCCAGAACTGATCAGAACCTGCTAAATACCACCTCTGAACCGGTAATGACTAAGGTAGGATCCCACTACTGGTCTGGTTGGCGGGGGCCTGATGGGTTTTACCCATTCCCTGCATCTTTTGGAAGTATGACCAGAGGAGGAGGATTATGGTAACTGTAGTTCAGCAACTTTATCAGGATTTTCACATCTATAGTAGGAAACCCTAAAGAACTGAATGCATGCAATATGAATTCGTCATCGTCAAGATACTTCAAGCAATACTGAATCAAGAGATTACAAAGCAACGGTTACAGACCTTGCACTTGGCAATCCTGTTGTGTGTGGACCAGTGTGTTTGCATTGTCAACGTAGGCAGTCACTGTACAGAAACCTTCTTTCTGAAAGAGGGAAAAAAAGTGAAGGCTAAACTGTGTGTTTTATCAGGCAGCTCCTTTGTTTCACTCAGGGCGGTTTTTCCAGGTGGCATCCCTGTGAAAATGACTGGCACAAAGTACAAGCTCACGCACAGAATACACATTCCCTATTCGAGCTAAGGTGCACACACAGAGAAGAGCCTTCTGCTACGTGCACAGATTATCTTGGCCTTTACCACTGCAGGTATAGGGAAAAGCTTTCATCCCTTCAAATCTTGAGGCAGAATTCAGACAGAAGCTGAAAACTGGCGCGGGGGGGGGGGGGGAAAGGCGGCTTTAAAAGGGGGGGGGGGGGTCTTCCAAGAGTCTGATTTACATTTAACATTTCCATGACTATTCTCTCCCCCATCCCATCCTTGCAATATTGTGGGCCCTGCCCTTCCCCTGCTGCAGTGGTGAAATGCTACCGGTTCAGCCTGATTCAGTCAAACTAGTAGTAGAAGAAGCTCTGATGATCAGCTGAGAGGAGAAAGAAGAGAAGAGCACAGGATCATCCCTCCCACCCGCCCCTGCACTTTTCTGTTCTTTATCCTCTCAGATGATTGGCGCAGCAGAGCCCCAGCTGGTGTTTGGAAAACTGTGCGTGCGCTTTAGGTGTGCCAAACCGGAAGGGAAACTGGTAAAATCCCACCACTGCCCTGCTGCTTCCAACTGACCTTTGCTGTCTCCTGGTATGTCCAGCCTGGCCCCTCCCAAGGCAAATGTTAGCTGTACAAACGTCTCCTTGACATTGTGCATGGTGGTTTCTTCATGAGAGGCCTCAAGAAGAAAGCCACGCGTAACCAGCAGCTGCCTTGGGAAGGAAGGGCCAGGCTGTGCGGTTTCCTAAGCAGTGAGAGGAAGAAAATGGCGAAAACCAGCTTGGGGTGGCAGAGGGCATGATGGCAGTGGCTGCAGAGTGCAGAACGGCTGTAGCTGGGGTCTAGCAGTGTAGCATTGGGGTTCATGCTGCACTTCTGGGCTTGGAACAACTGGGTCTTTGTGCTTCATTGGGGTGACTGGGACATTGCGTTCTGCTGCTGGGTTGGAGTGCCCAGAGTTTTGCGCTGGGCTGCACTTCTGGGTTCAGGTGCGTGAGGCTTTGTGCTGTGCTGCTGGGGCTTGTGCGCCCTCCTGTGTCCAGTAGCAGCCAGCACAATCCAGGATCTGTTTTGACTTCCTGTTGGCTTCCCCATTGTCTTTGTTTGTTGCAAGGTGACAGGAAGTTGCTTAATCACCTGTGATTCTTGCTTAACAATAGCTGTGAGGACTGTTGATTACTATTGGTAACCAAGGACTATCTTTGTATACATGTACCATTAAAAATTAAGCAAGGATGGTTGTGCTGTGTTTCTTTTTCTTTTAAGAAATTGATTTTTAAAATCTTGCTAATCTTCACAGGGCTCATATTGCTGATGCTGCTCTATCTCAAAAGTAACAGAATATTTTTCCATTATTCGTATTTCTCTGTGTTTTTCCAGGTCTTTTTATAGTAAATGGAGATAGATAGATAGATAGATAGATAGATAGATAGATAGATAGATA